CTGCTCAGGGTCTCCCTGCAGGGGTGACAGTGGCAGCTGCATGAGGCTATCCAGGCATTAGTCATGAGTTCCCGGGCCATGGGCATTTCCTCAAACCAAGTCCCAATGTCCTAGTGGCTCGAGACTGGGGGCTCCCTGGCAGGGCGTTGGACTTGGAGCAGTTCTGCTGCTTCTGCAGCAGTGGTGGAGGATCCAGGGTGGGATCTTGGGGGCCAGGTGCAGTGCTGGAATCTCAGAGTGGTGTCCAGGGCCTATCCGGAGCTCTGGAGTCACCAGGGTGGAGCCTCGGGCACCAGTGTATGAGTCTTACAGCTGAGACTGGGGAGGAGCCTGAAGTAGGGCTTCTGAGTAGAGCCTCAGAGCCGGAAGCAGGGCCATGCAGTGGAGCCGATCTGACCTGCAGAGTAGGTCAGGGCTGAGCAGGCTGCAGGCAATTGGGACCTGGAGGGTGGAGTCGGGGCCAAGCACATGGTGAGCTGTTCCGTAGGCTCGGGGACCACACAGATGCCAAGTGACATGGGCACAGGTTGGCTATAGTGGCCCAGGGACTGTGGAGTTCTCCCCACAGCCCCCAGGACCCACCAAAGCAGTCACCTAAAGCCTTCCAAGTCAGAGCCTGTAGCACTCCAGTCAATTCCCATGTTCAGATCCTGTTGCGGGGGTGCTTGGCTTCCAGTCACCGGGTATAGCTTAGAGAAGCCCCTGGTTGGTCCACTCCTTTCCCAGCCCAGTGGGGGCACTGTGAAGGCCACAAAGCTGAGTCCTGTGCCAACCTGCTGCCAAGTACCTGAGAGATCACGATGGCTTTAGTTGCTGCCCGATCCCCACTGCACCTGTTTTCTGGTGTAGTGACTCTGCACACAGACTCCAGGCACATCCCAATGTGTGGCAGCAGAGAGAGCCCTCTCACAACTCGGCCACAGTACCTACAGGGTGAACACAGTGCCCCAGCATTCTGTCCTGCTAATCTTCCCTGCGAGTGCTTTGATATCACCAAATGGATCGTCCCATCACCTTTTTTTTCCACACTGAGAGTCCCGCACTGCTTCTCTTTGGTTTCACAGTGTTCCGTCTAGGAATAGCTGTCTATAGGTAGGCACCTGCTTCCCCTTTACTCTTCTTCCTTGGGAGCTGCAGGTTCACACGCCGCTTCTAATCCACCTTTTTTTTTTTTTTTTTTTTGCTGGATGATTTTTATCCTGTGTAACAGTTTGGCTGCTGTATGGGGTCGAATATTGTCTCCCAAATATTCATAACCACCTGGAACCTGTGAATGTGACTATATTTGGAAATAGGGTCTTTATAGATATACTTCAGCGAAGATAAGATCATACTGGATCAGGGTGAGCCAAAGATCGGAGTGATGTATCTACAAGGCAAGAAATGCCAAGGCTTGTTGATAAGCTGCCAGCAGCTAGGTAGAGTCAAGGAAGAATTCTTCCCTGAAACCTTCAGAGGGACCATGGCCCTGCCCTCCATGTCTGGAGGACTTCTAGCCTCCAGAACTATAGAGAATAAATTTCTAGTGTTTTAGAACCCAGTTTGTGGTACTTTGTTACAGCAGCCCTAGGAAACTAATATAGCTGCTAATAACATAAACCTAGGAGGGAAAGGAGAATAAATAAATTAGATTATTGTTTTTCACAAGTAAGAGAAGCCCAGAGGTAGATAGTCTAGGAAGATATGGTGGCTCCATGATGTGCCCCAGGCTCCTCCTTCTAAGCTGTGGTTTTCATCACAGCTCTTGCCTTTATCACCACTTTCCTTCTCAACTTACCCCTGCAAGCATCACCATACTACTCTTGAGTAGATGCATTTGTGGGAGGCTCACAGCAAAACAAGGCATCCAAGAGAGGATGGCTAGGACTTCCTGGTTCACAATATTATCAGGCAGTATGGCCAGTATGGATTTTGTAAGATTGCGTGTAGACACTGATACTTCTGTAGTGGGATAGTAAATCTGTGTCCCTAAACTCAGGTATGCTAAAATCTTGCTCTAAAGTTCCATTGTTCTGTTCCCACCAATGGCAGTCAAAGGACTTCAACTTGCCAATTAAAGACAACTCAGTCTCTTATAGGTAACCATTTCATCTGAACAAATGCTCATACTTAGTTTCTCTACTCTGTCTCTTCTCCCTGCCAAGATGGTGCCAAGGTTCTGGGATGGGCTCACATGTTTCTTTGTTTGAAGAATGGCCTCTGAGTGCCCACCAGTCCTTGTTGGCCTCTAAGGAGAGCTTTGTTCCTGCTCTGGGTCTCTGTTCCCACCGGAGCCACTGGCTGCCCCATGAGCCTGTAGTCTATGACTCTAAAGGCTGTTGGTCTTTGTTGCTGCCATTACCTGGCAATGTTGCCAGATCTTTTTGCTTCAGGATGTGTTCCACCACAGACTATCTAGGGGCAGGCAGAAGACCTCACGTTTGGTTTCTATAGACTTATCCTTTCTGCTGGCCCCCTGCGTTGTGGGTATGGCCTCCAGGGGCCAACTTCCCATTAGATCCTTGGACTTAAAAAGTCAGCTGTGCTTCCCCTAGATGTCCTGGTGCTCCTGCCTCCACTGGCTGAGCTTCCTCGTAGGGCCTGGGAGCAGTTCCCACGGTGGCCCTTGCTTACCCAGCAGGAGCTGGGAAACCTGAGCCCACCCTGCAGCTCAGCAGGGACAGAACCCACTGCCCAGTCAAACCACCCAGTGCTATATGCCACGCTGCCTCAGCCAGCCCTCAGGCCCTCACAGCTCCACCTGGAAAGCCACAGCAGCCTCAGTCCTCTAAACAATGGTCCCCAACCTTTCTGGCACCAGGGATCGGTTTCATGGGAGACAGATTTTCCACGGGCAGGGCAGAGCTCAGACGGTGATGTGAGCGATGGGGAGCAGCTGCAAATACAGACAAAGCTATGTTCCCTCACCCCAACCCCGCTCACCTCCTGGCATGCTGCATCCCCCCCTCCCCCAGTTCCTAAGTTTCATGGACAGTTTTTCCACTGCTGGCGGGGAGGGTGGGACAGTGGGGCTGTGCAGCCCAGTTCCAAACAGGCTGCAGACCAGTAGTGCCCCACCGCCCAGGGGTTGGGGACTGCAGCTCTAAAAGACCCACAAAATAGCTTCCTGTCAGTTTTCTGCAGTTGGTTGTTGTTAATGTCTTGTTGAGTGAATTCTATTTTGTTTTTTTTATTGCCAGAGAACAAATTGTTACAGGCTTTTAAGGAAACTAAAAACATTTGCTCTCTAATTATATCTTTTATTCTATTCCCATTCAACTTGCTTTCTTGTTTTGGAGCAGCCTTTCTATTAGCCAAAACTCCAGTCAAGTTTTCTTAATAAATAAAAGCTGCTGTTTTTCTGCTGTGGTATGTGAGAGGATTTGTCAGCATGGTTCTTATTGAAGATTCTAATAAATTGTCGGGCTGGAAGCATGTTGATGGTATCAGTCTTTGCCTTGCCCCTTACTGGAAATAGTTTTTGGAAATATGTAGAACAGCAGTGTTTTGAAATGCTAGTTCCAAGAGTGTTTTTCATGTTTGTTCCTTCAGTCAGTCAGTAAATACTTAACTGTGTACCTGTAATGTACCGGCCATTATTTTAAGGACTGGAATACAGCCTTGAGCAAGAACATCTTGGAGCTTATACCCTATTAGGGGAGGATGGACAACAAAAAAACCAGCAAACATGTGTGATAACATCAGACAGTGGCTGGTGCTTATAAATACAGGGGCACAGATGAAGTGGTGGAGACTAGAGAGTGACTTGGGGGCTACTTTAGGCTGGGTGGGCAGGAAGACCACTCTGAGGAGAATGCTGGACAGAAAGGCGGACAGTGAGAAGGAGCCGTCTGCCTAGATGTGGAGACAGCCTCGGGCCGAGGGGCGCAAGTGTGCCAGCTCTGCCTCGGCCAGCGCGACACGGAGTGAGCGAGGAGTGACACGCTGGCTCTGCTCGCCAGAGGGGCCAACGTGGAACTCAGGAGTTCAGGCAGAGACTGGGACAACTCTGTTGAGTGAATGACTAAGAATATAGCATGTAAGACATAAATAGGGCACTTTTAAGGCCACCAAATATAAGAAAGCAGCCGTTGAGAAGGGTGAACATACTTACTGTAGTGATTCTCAAATTGGTGCCCCTATCGGTATCTTTTTAATTGTGTTTTAATTGTGCCCTCCCCTATCGACACATTCTCTTGTACGGCCCTCGGCTTCCACTGCTTCCCCTGAGCTCTTCTGAGAATCCTTCAGTCCCTGACGGGGCCGTGGGTGTCCCACAGGCATGGGGAGGTGGGGAGGGCTACAGACCACCGCGTGTCACACATACCAGTGGGCAACTCAGATGGTCAGCAGCCGGCTTGGCGGGTCCGTCAGGTCAGGTCTGGAGGAAAGACTTCTCATGTGGAGGCTGCGTCTGCTAGAGGACACAGAGAAGCAGCTTCTGTGAAGACCCTGGGCTAAGTCACGCCGATGCCATAGGCATTGTCATCTGAGAGCAACCTGTAGTGCCATCACTGCGGCCTCTTATTTTTTACATACACTGAAATAGCAACATGCTTGACTGTTACAAACGCTTAAAGACAGTTTCTTTATTAATTTCAGTCACCTGGAAAGAACTGGTCTTCAGAGAGGTGAGTGAACACCACTGACTGTGAGGCAGTGTATTCCCACACTTTTCAGCACAGGTTGAAAAGCTCCTTCCTAGCGACTGGATGAATGGTCCAGGCTGTCAGCCACATCGTATGTGCACAAGAGGTGCCCTGGTCTCTCGCTGGAGGGAAGACACCTCTGTCATTGTGAGAGCACACGCTTGTCATGTTGGAGGGAAGGCCGTGCACCTGGGCCCAGCACTGCCCTCGCTACTCGGCCCTGCAGCTCCCAGTCTTCAGTCTGCAGAGCATCCTTGCTAGGAAGAGTTGCTAGAAAATTTGGCAGAAAATTCCCAAGCTTGTCTGAAGTTATGGTGTGACAGCAGGTAAGTTATACTCATTAGTTACAAAATGTCGTTCTTCTATTTTCAGTAAATATTCAAGATGTGATATTACAAGAAAATTTGGAAAAAGAAGATCAAATTCTGGTTTCCCTGGCAGGATTAAAACAGGTATGTGCATTGCTCTGACAAGTCTTCTTTGTGTCCTGCTGCCGTGGGGAGGGCACCCTAGGGCATGCAGTACCATGACATTAGAGCCAGCATCCCCCCAGCCTTCATTTCTTCCCAGAACCCCTTCTGAGTCTCCACCTCCTTGTGCCCCTGTTCTTTCCAGTGATTATGTCTGCTTAGCTTGTGGCCCACACTAGTTTTCCATTTCCTCTCACCAAACCCATTCTGCTTGTTCCTCACCCAAAACTGGTGTGCCATGAACCAGCATCATGTTCAGTCATCTGTAAGGTCATGGATGTTTTTGGAGCACAAGTCATAATCAGTACCTTCAGCAGACTTCAGACCCTCAAGGCCCACATTTACCTAACTTTTCAAGATCTAAACGGGACATAAATGTCAATGAAAGAGAGTGTGCTCTTCCTACATGCCTATCCGTGTTATAAACAGACCAGTGGTGGTAGAGTCATTTTAGTGGCCAAGCTGTGCAGTGGAGCTGAGCGTGTACGCAGACGGAGCTTCCTGCTTTAAGATAATTGCCAAGGATGTGACCCTCGTGTCTTACCCTGTGAGAACCTGGTCATTAACGCCCTGACATTTTCCTTCGTCATTGTTTTGCTAAAGTTAGATTTTTTTTCCATTATTTCTTTCGTAATGGTGTAAAATGTTAACATCCATGCTATAAAAAAAAAAATAGTTGAAAACAAGCCTAGTTTAAATGTATGAGAGATTTAGCTAGCATTTAAAAACAAACTCATTCATCTTTTTCATTTACTTTCTTATTTGAAAATAGATCAAAGACATTCTAAAAGGTTCCCTGCGTTTTAACCAGAGCCAGCTAGAGGCGGAGGAGAATGAGCAGATCACCATCGCGGACAACCACTACTGCTCCAGCGGCCAGGGCCAGGGCCAGGGCCAGGGCCAGAGCGACCAAGTGCCCGGGGCCACCAAGCAGGTATAGGAGCCCTGAGGAACATGGGATGTTAATTCAAAGGGAGCACGTTCATATAAGTTCTTCAAAGTTATGATTAACAAAAACCCTACCAGAGTTATTTCTAATTGCCATGTGTGAAGTTTATTTTGAAATGCCACAAGTAGCCTGAGGCAGGAGTGCTGGGTACAGCTGTGCAGGTTGTACACTCTGGTGCCGGAGGGGGTGCCATTCACAGTGATAATGACGGGAAGAGTGTCTCCGACGCCTCCATTCCAGTGCTTTCCTAGTGCAGTCTTGAGTGGATCTCACTTGGCTAGAACATTTTTGGCCGAAATTACTTTCTTGCCTTTGTGGGAAAGGGCTTCTCATTAATGTCTACCTCTAAGGCAGGGGTCAGCAAACTTTCTGTTAGAGTCAGAGAGTAAATATTTTAGGATTTGCAGGCCACATGTGGTCATCTCTATCATATAATTTTTTTCTTTGTGTTTTGTATTTGTTTTTTATATAACCCTTTAAAAATGTATAAGCTGCTCTCAGCTTGAGGGCCATAGTAAAGCAGGCCACAGGCCAGCTTGGGCCATGGTTTGCTGACCCATGCTTTCAGCGTGTATAATTTATTCTAACAGAATCACATGATTTCACAGCTAGAAAGAATCTTAAGAGCTTTCTCATGTGCTCAGTCCTGCCTGCCCCTTTTGCCAGTGGGAAAAGGAAAGCCAGAGGGCACCCAGGCTCCCTGGGCAGGGGCCCCGCTTGCCAGGCATTGTGTGTGCAGAACCCCCGCCCCAGCCTCAAGCTCCACCTCCTGCCTCACTGGGAATATCTGATAAGACTAAAAGATTGCTCATTTCCCATTTATATTTTAAATTCCAAATAATATTTTTTAAAAATCAGTTTCTAAAACTGCATTGTAAAAAATGAACATTAGCAAAATCTTATCTAAGTCACTTTCTCAAGAACTAGCATTCATATGCTTGAAAATTATTTTTTGTGTGATTTTAAAACAGCAAAATGAAATTTGAATGGGAATTTTTTCAGTTTTAAGGGCACTCTTCAAGAAGAGAGAAATTTGTGGTTAACTTACTTTTAAAGCTGTATGAAATTTTCATGAAAAACTTTGACTCTGCATTCTCAGCCATGTGAATACAACATCGACATTGCCACTTTAATTTGATTAGTTTCTCCAAATTCTCCTCCCTGCATAGATGTTTATTTTTTTAATAATTATTTATTCAAAAACTTTTAAGCATAGGCCCACCCACCAACCATTTTTAACTGACAATTTTATTTAAAACTTCAGCATGATTTTTTAGTTGAATGTGTAAAAATACTGCAGAAAAAGACTTTTCAAAAACACTAATGAATTTGCTAAATTTAAAACTTCTTGATTATACTCTGCATACGTCTCTACCCCTTCTCTGCCATAGCCCCTTCCCTGTGGCTGTTAGCAGTTTATAAAAAGTACTCCTCAAAAAGGCTTCACTGAGGAAGGGAGAAATAGGGAAGCCGTGCTCTCCTCTCTCCTTCAGAGGAAAAAAAGCAAGAGAAATGCCAGATGCAGGCAAGCAAGTCAGACAGACGAGCCTAGCGTGTGGGGCCTCCCGCTGCAAAGCCCAAGGATCTGGGCTACACTGATAAGGGGCCGAGGAGTCTACCAGGCAGGAAGCCTAGACCACCTTCTTCCTATAGGAGCCTGTGTCCCAAGCCGTGGGGGCTGCCATCGAGCTTGGAGCCGGCTGAGTTTTCCATCTCACTGTTTGTGGGAAGAGGCAGAGGGGACGCTGGCTGTGGACAGGCTACGTGCATCCCGAGTGTGCCAAGTGGGAGTTCCCAAGACTTACGAATGTGTTTTGAGGACCCGCTGTGCCAGGAACTGGGTATCCAGGCTGTGGGATGTAGCTCCTGCTTTCGTGAGCGTCCAGCTACGGGGGACAGGGCTGGGGGCGCAGTGCGCGCTAGGCAGGCTCTGGAGACGTTTTCTTGAGATGTAAGCACCACGTTTTGGGCCTGTGACAGATTGTGCCTTAGCTCATTCCTAACTTAGGGACGGGTTGTCTCTGCGTTCTTGGTTAATCACTAACGTCTGTCTAAAGGATAGTGCAGAAGGACCAGGCTCCCTGCCCAGGGGCAGATGGCCCGTGGCCCTCCTGCTGTCCCCTTCCCATCAAGAACCACGGAAGGTTCTTCCTCTGTAGAAATGCACATGCCCCCTCCCCGGTGTGAGGTTGGTGGTGACAGGGCTAGTATTGTTCTTTTAGTTTGATTTACACATTTTATCTCCCTCTCTAAAAACAGCAGAGTTGTGAAACTGCGTTCTGTGGAGTGAAAAGAGCCACACTCTCTACTTCCCTTCCCCAAATCTGTCCTTTGGGAAGCATTTGATGAACTCACTGAAATCCACAGCAGTGAAAGGCAGGACTTTGTTAGCCAACCCATCACATGCTTTCTGGCACTTGGTCCCATGTTTTTATCTGTATATTGTCTAATATGATAGCCACTAGCCACTTGTATTTATTTAAATTTAAATATATTAAGAGTCAGTAGAACTAAAAGCTAGAAATTCACTTCCTCGGCCACACTAGCCACTGTTCAAGTGTTCAGCACGCACACACATGTGGCTAGGGGCCGCTCTGTTGGATGGCACAGATGACAGTATTTCCATCATCAGAGAAAGCTCCTCTGAACAGCGCTGCTCTGCAGTTGACTCACCTGCTTCCTGCATGATCCTGAATCAAGCCAGAAATGGGGCAGGTTTGGGGAAGGAGGGCATATATTGTGGTGGTCTGGCCAGTTTTAGACAAGCCTGACAGGTTAAAAACTTTCTGATTGTGCAAGACATGCCTGTATCTGGCAAAAAGAGACAATTGACTTAGGAATTTACAAAACTTCTGTAAATGATGTAAGTGGCACCAGGTAGTGGTTAAGGCTGCTATGGAAATCCACAAAGAAGCCATCTTTGTGTCTAGAAAAAAATTCTAGGTGGGTATCCAGATAGCAGTGTCTTTTAAATTGTTTTGTGACATTGGCCAAGCTACTAGGCCTCCTACCTGGGCTTCCTTTTTTGATTATAATATGAAGGGACAAGGAGGGGGTTGATGAAGAAGACAGTTGTGAAGCCCTGTCACCTCGAACGTGCTTTGTCTAAGTCTGTCTGTGACCCTTATCTGGGAACTGGGGGGAATCACATCAGATAAGTAGAGCCATGGTAGGGACTATCCTTACTTCTAGTCACAGGCTTTGAAAAGTATTTCTCCTCTTCAGAGTGTTGCCAACATCTTCACTGTAATCTAAAGGAGAATTAGTGATGATGATTTCTCTGTAGTAGCAGCACCACTCTAAAAATAGGGTCCACTGTATGTGCCCTTTTATTTTCAACTAAGATAAGCTCTGCTAAGTACATTCCAGCCATGCGTTGTCATGAGAGATCAAGGTTTTCATGGTCCACGATGCACATGAACAAAGTGTCCACGTTCTGAAAGTAGGAAATCAAACCCGAGGGCCTGTGTTGATTCCCCAGCAGCCTTTGGTGCTTACCACATACGGAGCTGCGGGGAGAAGCCCCACTCCCCAGTTGTGGCCTGGCTCTGACCAGGGGCACCTCACGCAGGGACAGCAATGGGAGAATGCAGTTTGATTTCTTTCCCTCCAACCCAGAGAAAAGACAGTCCTCCTCTACCAAACAGCTGTAGTGCCATCGCAGTCACGTCCTCTTCTGTCAGAGTGCCATGTGCCATGTATTTTTTTCACTTTTATGAGAATTAACGCGTGAATACAAGGTAAACAGCTTTAGAACTTGAGCTGAAGCACCTCAAGGCCTGTTGCTCCAGCACTGTGAAAGGCAAATTCCATTTCTCTCCTCCAGCTGAATATCTTAGGTTGATGAATTGCCAGAGGTGGAAGGTCAGAGACGGAAGGCACGTGTGCCATTATTTAGCTGCTCGCCCTCCCCCACCCCCCATGTCACTGAGGGGCTGTGAGACTGAGAGAGAGGCCCGTCAGTCAGGGCTGGAGGCCCAAGCACTCAGGGGCACTTCCAGCCCAGGGGCTCCATACCTCCCGTTAGACCTGAGCTCCCTACACTGGTCCCCACCATGCCCAGGGAGGGCAGGCAGGGCTGGGGAAGAGCTGTGGGCACCACGTCAGCTGACGTCACCACCGGGTGCTCTTTCTGCCAGGCCAGTGTTGGACATCCTTGGCCGAACTATAATTTCCCTACCCCAAAACCTTTACCTGTGTTCATGGATGTTAACTTCTTTAAGTTAAAAAATAAAAAGCCACTTATAATTGCTTAGAAAGAAAGGGAAATAATTGTAGATGAAAGCAATTCTGTCTCTATACTTTTTGCCATTATACTTTGCAGTTGCCATTCTTGGTTTTCGTATTTGTAGAACCTACTGGTTACTACCATTGCCCCAGGAGACCCCCATGCGCCTACCCAAGATGAGCTAGCCATGGGATATATATGAGAAGAAACACACCAGGCCTTCTAAAAGCCATCCTTTGAGCAAAGTAGTAAAATTGCTCCAGATCTTGCAGCTCTTATTAGGGAGCCAGTCTCATACGATTCACATCCACACATGTCCTCTCACTGCATTGTGACTGCACACCAGGACGGAGGCACTGTGCTTACCCCATTTCATTTAATCGAGGGGATTAAAGCTCAAGGAAGATGAGTGATTTGCATGGCAAAGTCCCACATGAGACTGCTAGAGACTCTGCCTGCAGCCCGTTGGCTAGCGCCAGACTGGGCTCTGCAGGGCAGCATAAATGCTGCTCTCCCTGCAGTTCATGAAGCAGGAAGTTTACTTTGTCCCCCTGGGAAACCAGCATTGAGCTTCAGGAGTGCTCAAAAAGATGCCACTGGCCCTGTGCCACTGGTAAGTGCCTGGGCCTCGGGCCAGCAGGCCCAGACACTACGTCTTTCCACGCTAGAGCGAGGGGAGAGGTGGCCTCACCGCCCAGGGAGTATTCCCAGCCTCACAGGGGCCCCCACTCAGTTCTTTGCCAGTTTCTTCTTCACCCACCTGTACTTCTGACTGTGTTTCACAGGCCTCTGCAGAAACGCCAGCGTGTGCAGATAGAGGGAGTTCAGATGACTTCATCCTGGTTTCCAAAGAAGACAATGGGGGCAGTGCCAGAGGGCCCTTCTCGGGCCAGGCCCAACCTCTGCGCACCCTCAGAAGCATGTCTGGGAGATGCCAGCCCCCAGCCTGCTCCCCACTGGTGTTCTCAGACCCACTGATGGGCCCGGCCTCAGCTTCCTCCAGCAACCCCAGCTCCAGCCCTGACGACGACAGCAGCAAGGACTCTGGCTTCACCATCGTGAGCCCCCTGGACATCTGACTGCCGTGCCCCAGCCCTGCCTCACAAGCATCTAGCCACCCCCTCAGTGGCCCAAGGCCAGGCTGAGGCGCCCCCAGCGGAGACCCCTCTGAAACCAATGCTTCTTCCCAGCATGCATTTGGCATTGGTACAGCCCATTGGACCCTTTAGAGAGAAGCAAATATGGCCACAAAGCACAGACTTACCTTCACCAAATGCAGACAGGGCCCTCCAGGCCCTTACGTAACCCTCACCCGCCCTTGCTCTGAGTGGGAGCTGGATTAAGTACCCAGTATCACACTCACAATCAGAAAAGACCAAGCCACAATTAGAATCACTTCCTCTGCCCCCTTCTCCCTGACTAAGAAGGTACGGCAACTCCATTGATTATATCAATATTTAGGAAAAGGAGGAAGAATTGGTTTCAAATCTTCCCTCCCTCGAAGCATCAGGCATAGGAAAATTGTTTGATATCAAGAAGCTTCCTCTGTGGGAATCTGTGTCTCAACCTACCTGATTCCTACACTGGGAAGCCATATCACAGAGCCAAATGCAAATAGAAGGAACTAGAACCAGTGGATTCTAGGGCTGGAAAAAACCATTACTGACCTCTCAAAGTTACAGTGCTCTTTAGAAACAGACTAAACTTAGGAGTCATATTTAGGTGTGATGTGGTGTTAGATCTTTTTTCGATTTGTTAAAGAATACATTCCCAGTCCTCAGGCTGAATTGACTTTGGTCGTCACTGTCCCTCCTTAAATAATTATATTTCACTATTAGAACCGTTCACAGCCAGAAAACATGGTCACTTTAAGCCAGTCTTTGCTGCACTGATTTCAAAAGTTGTAAGAATATTACTATCCTTGAACTGGAAAATGTGACCCTGACTTGATGGGATAAATATCTTTCAGATAGTAAATTTTCTGGTTAAGTTTCTCTAGGTTCAGCTCTGTACATACCTATCAACTGAGGAGTAAAGGGAAAACCCAAGCTCATTCCCATCCAGAGTCAGAATCCCACCCTGGCCTTCAGGTAGGAGGAACAGGGAGAGACCCGGAGTCCTTCTGTGGGAACAAGGCTTCCGAGACGACATTCCAGACGCCAGGAGGATGCAGGGTTTGCACACAGCCCTTCCCCGGCTGGGAGCCGAGTGGGGAGCTGCGGGCGTGCTCAGCTTGGAGCTCTGCGTCCGTAGCACCACTGCCGGGACGGGTCTGACGTGCGGTGCCTCCTCGGGCCTCTGCGCAGATTAGAGATTCTCCCCCTTGACAGTCAGAAGCTTGGGAAACCGTGGTGGGCACAGGGCATCGCATGAGCTGTTTCTGTCCTTAGAGGAGGAGCTCCCTGGAAAGGACGCTGCGCTCACCTTTGCCTGAGCAGGAATAAGACAGGAATGGGCGGCCGCTGCAGGGAGACACGGCACCTGCTCCTGCTTCAGGCAGGGCAGCCCTTGCTGGCCGAGCTGGCTCTTGGAGCCTGTCCTCAGGACAGCAAGGCCTCTGGCGCTGGACGCTTCATAATAACAAATGAAAGCGAAGTGAGAGGGAATCCCTTTACGTCCTTCCCACGGCCAACCGCGTATCTCTACAGACAAATGGGACAGTGACGTGATTTCCCTCTCACTGTCCAAGAAAATGGTGATGACTCTCGAGTCAGCTACTACAGAGAGGGTTCTGATTCGCTCTGCAATTTGTCCTTAAACTCGAGCAGGGAGGTCTGCTCTTACCACCTCAGTGTGTAAGGGCGAGCAGCTGCGCTGGCGTTGCGGATGACGGGCTGCCTGGCCTTCCCCATCGGGCAGCCGCTCGGCAGACTCGCTCGTGAGCTCCCTGCTCCTGACCGAGTTGTCCTCTCAGCACCTCCAAGGTGCTGCCGAGTACACGCCCACGTGGCGGCACTTTGTGAGCCCCAGGGCCCCCATGCAGTGAGTGGCCTTAGAACTGTCCGGGGGTGCCACTGGGTACTTTCTCACGAAGGACTTGGCTTGGGGAGGTGCTGGTGTTTTCGAGTCTAAGGTGAGAAGTGTGGAGCTGTCCCCTCTAGAGGAGAGACTGGAAAGGACCACAGAACTGCCACCTTCTGGCAGCTGGGCGCTGTTGTCTGCGCCTCTCGCATTTCCTCTGCCCTGAGAGGTCGAGTCACGAGGGCTGAGTGTCAGTGGCCACACAGGAGTCGCTGCGCACCCACCACGCCAATAAGGCTCTCGGCTGGTTCCCTGCAGCTGGCTGGGTGTTAACGGTCACTGAACGCTCCCAGCCCTGCCCACACGCCGGGGACAGGTCCTCTCCATGCAGTGCTGCTGTGTTGGTGCCACATGCGGACCAGCGGGCTCCCCCAGAGGTGGCGTTTGTGTGGCCCCTCCTTGGGGGAAAGAGACCCGCGGGGCCCCAGACACAAGCCGTTCCCACACATTCACATTCAGAGAATCGCATTACTGTCCTGTCTTTTCTAAGTGACTTTTTTTTATTCTTCATAGTTGAACATTGTTTGCATTTTTATGAGTTACAGTGCTATTAAAGAATATGTGTTCCTTTTTTTTATTTTATCAAGTACTTATGTTTAATTGCACATTTAAAAAGTCCTGAATATATGAAACCTCTTTGTTTTTCCTTAACAAATGTGGTAATCAGTGGAACCCCTCTTGTGCTTTGATTATCAGCAGTTAAGTACATCTTATATATGTAAAGCTTAGATTAATTCCCATTGTCAACTACTCTTTTAATACATGCGCCTGTGTGTTTCAAGCATTCCTCTATGATTATATTGGAAATTTCAGTTAAAATGTATCTGTGAACATGACATGAGAGTCACAGACTAGAGAAAGGGAGTCGTCGTCGTTACTTGCCTTACCCTGTGTGTATGCCAAGGGGTCATATAACACTTCAAGCATTTAATTATACTGGATTATGCTTCCAAAGACGGCCTCCTGCTAATGTTTAGTGGTGACTGCAATCTGAAAAAAAATAATATCACTGCAGAATGAATGTGACTGTAAAAATAAGCCAAGACGTCCCTGGGACTCGCCTCCCCTGCCTATGACCGAGCTGAATCTCCTTCGGCCGTCAGTCCCCGGGCAGCGCTGAGGAAGCCGCCCCAGGGTCTGGTCGCCTGCCCTTAACAGGAATGCTGCCTTTACTTTGTCAGAACGCCGAACAAACGTCAACCTCGGTGACAGCTATGCTGTCTCCTGATGAAAACCTGCCATAGTTGATCCAAATTTACTATTTTGTCTTTATTGAATTGTTGTTTAAGAAACTGCCCCCAGGGTTCATTACGGGACAGAAGCGTGTCTGGAGGACTCTGTCCCCACGTGCTGAGTGGCCGCCCTGTGGAGCCATGGCCAGTTCCGTCCCTCCTCCCCGGCCCCTGCGTGTCCAGAGCAGGAAGGCCGGGAGCAGGGAGAGGGGCCGGACGGATGGAGGCAGCAACTGGCCGGCCAGGCTTCCTTCTCAAAGGCCAGCCCGCTGTCGCAGTGTTACTTTGAAAGGCTCTCTTTTTATAGTGTTGAAAAGAAATGTAAAGTTCATCTAAACAGGCTTGAGACCACTTCAGTGTAAAAGCTGTCATCATAATTTTTCTCACAATGGCACAATCGGTCTGATTGATGGAATACCCAGTTGTGCCATTTATATCCTATCGCTTTTTTCTCATCCATCTTCATGCTCTAACTCACATTGGTTTAAGAAATGATTTATCCTTTTGGCAAAGTGATCCCATTCTCTATGGTTATAATAAAAGACTAATGTGAAACTGAGACTGTAGCCTGACTTGTTCCAGGCCGGGGGTGAGGGGCAGGAGCGGGCCGGTGGGAGGAGCCGCCTGCAGGGCCCGGTCAGGTGGGGGCGGAAGAGGGGCTGTGCCCCAGCCGGGAGCGGGGGCCGCCTCACTGCACCCCTGCTCAGGTCCCAGGCCTGCCCAAGGCTCACACCCAACCCTGTCATTCCCTTCCTCTCCGACTTGGGCAAGGTGCTTAACCTCTGGGGCGTCAGTTTCTTTACCTGCAAACTGAAGGTAACGGTAGTCACCTACTTCATAGTGCGTGGCGAGGCTGCCTCCTCAGCTCCTGCCGCTGGTCCCGCAGCCACTCAGAGGTCACACCCAGCCCGGCTGGCCCATACATGGCGTCCCCATCATCTGTCCATCCATGGCTTGGCCATCCCCCTGGCTCATCACCCTGCAGAAAAGGCCTCGTCCCCACTTGCCAGGTCTGGCCAGGGGCCTTGTTCCCTGACTCTGCCACTCACCCCCCACGTGGAAGCAGACCTAACTCAGAGCCCACAGCGTGAAAGGGGCTCCCTGCAACCTGCCCCCCCCCACCACCCCACTCCCGCTGGCCTGCAGCACGCCTACTGCACACAGCTCCCTTCCTCTGCCCAGAACACCTCTCCCTGTCCTCAGCTGATAGCTGGGGAAGAAGGCCAGCGCCACTGGCCAGGCTCCTCCTGCCATGGAACTGCTTCCCTGAGGACACGTTGGTACGTTTCACTTTGTGCCGTAGAGCAGCCACTTATTCTGCTCCTGGGTTATGTGGTTCAGGGATTCAGGCAGGGCATAGAGGAATGATTTGTCATTGGTATCTCTGTCATCTGAGGCTTTGGGAGACTCAAAGACCGAGGACTATTTTGTCCACTAAGATGACGCTGAGACCTTGGCTTGGGCTATCAGCCAACACCTAATGCGACCTCCTCATGTGGCCTGCGCTTCCTTGCGGCCTGGCGGCTAGCTGGGTTCCAAAAATGAATGTGCGGAGGAGGGGGTGGGTGGGAGCCAGGTGAGTGCCATTTCACCTTTTATGACCTGGCCTCAGAAGTCACACAGCATCGCTTCTATCACATTCTATTTGTCAAGGTAGTCACAAGCCCAACCAGTTTCAAGGGGAGGGAAAATAGACTCCATTCTTTGATAGGGAGGACAGTGTCCCAGAAGCACATGAGTCTGGAAGTTTGCTGTGGCCACCTTTGGAAAACAAAATCTGTCATGTGCATTCACTGTAGGCTGCTCCAAGGTAGCCAGAATGAGACCTCAGTCACCCTCTGGTAGACCAAGGCTGCTCCAGCCATACTGGAGAGCCTACAGGTGCCATCCAAACCTGATAGTACGTGTAGCTGATCACTACTCTCCTCCAGAAAACTTTATGTGATGGTTTTAAAACATACCTCAAAACTATTTGACACTCCTCTCGAGAGCCCCTTGAATCTTGGCTCTGTGACCTCTCAAACAGTACAATACAGAGGACAAGATGCAATTGAAAGTTTCTGGACCCTGCCTCAAGAAGACTAGCAACTTCTACTTCCTGTCTCTCGGTACATTCACTCTTGAAACCCAGCCACCATGCTGCAAGGAAGCCCAAGCAGCTCTGTGGAGAGGAACCAATAACAACCCAGAGCACCGCCTTGGAAGCCATACCCACTTGGCCTCATTGACACTGTGCAGAACAGAGACAAAGTATTCCCACCACTTCCCAATGAGCAGACTAAATGATTGCTGATTGTTTTAAGCCACTCACTTTTGGGAAGGGTCATTATGCAGCAGTGGATGATCTTCCCTGATGCCCTGACTGGCAGGACTGATCTCTGAACTCTCCCACTTTTGGACCATACATCTTTCCCAGGCCTTACCTACCTACCTACCTACCTTCTGCTGAATGTTCTCATATACTGGTTCAGAATTTGCATTTCCCTTCTTGAAAAGAGGGCCATTCATCCACTCATATTTAATAAGCACCTACTATGTGCCAAAAGCACTGTGCTGGGATCTGGAGACATGCAGGGAATAAGATGACTAGGATTTCTGTCCTCAGGGAGCTGTAAGTCCAATGGGGGAGGAAGGCAATGCCCGGCAAATGAATGCAAGATAATTTCAGATGAGAATGATGTGGGAGAGACTCTTCAGGAAGCCCAGAGCCCCTTCCCCCTGGGTGGGGACACAGCTGGACCACATTTCCTGGCCTCCCTTGCTGTGACGGAACTCAGGCCACTGGAATTTGAGTGATGGCCCAGGAGCAGCGTGTTGGGGTGCGGGGAGGTGAGTAGACTACCTGGGGACCCAAAATTGGGGCGGGGGTTGGGAAGCTCCCTCTCTGCCCAGACTCTGAGGACCAGCCTGTCCCAGGGTTTTCGTAAGCCTCGTTGTCATTCTCTGCTTTCATTCCCATAGACAGCACCCCTAGGGGAAGAGCCAAACCCAGCTCTGATCAAATCGTAAGCTGCTTACAGAGTGGGGGAAGATAGAAGCCAGTGTCACTTCAAACCAACCCCAATTCATTCAGAGCCCTGAGCCCCGCCTGCCTGACTCCACCCTCAAGACGCCAGGGCTCTACGCAGGCCACTGTGGGCAAATGCAGAGGGGACTTAGAGCAAGACAAGTACGCTCTGGGAGCCTCCATCTCCTTGTCTGTAATATGAGGGTGGGGGGAGGTGGGCAGGTGCAAACTTGACCACCTTGCAGGGGTGTTGCAAGTGGATCAAGTCCATTAAGTGCCAGGCTTTGTGCCCAGCTGTCACCTGCACTAACCCCCATTCCCAGTCACCCCATGCGGTAGGTAGGTGATGGAAGGGCACGAGCCCTGGGCTGACGTGGCCAGTGTGTGCACGTGCTGCCCGGACTCTGCTCCTCAGGACTGCTCCCGGCCTCAGCATCTGGATGGCAGGATGTGGGGTGGCCTTGAGGTCCTGGGGGTGGCGGGCTCTGCAAGATCCGTCTCAGCCTCTGCCTGTTTCCATCCACCACGGCCGGCACCAGCCGCAGGGCCCAGAGCCAGGGGTCCTCAAACTTTTTAAACAGGGGGCCAGTTCACTGTCCCTCAGCCCGTTGGAGGGCTGTTGGAGAGAGCGGTGCACATTCCACACATGCGCACTGTGGGCCGGGGACGAGTCGGCTGCTAAGCAGGACAGGCAGCGGAGGCGAAAACACCGGCGGGCCAGATAAATGTCCTCTGCGGGCCACATGCGGCCTGTGGGCTGTAGTTTGAGGACGCTCGGCCCAGACAGACTCTCCTCCGTGTGGCAAACAGAGGCATATTCCTGGGCGGTGCTGCGGCCGCCGTGCGTGGCAAGGGTGCCGCTGGGTTTCTCAGAATCCTGCGCCTCAGAGGTTCAGAGAAACTCAGACTTTCAGAGAAAGTCTGTCCTGTCCGTTGCCTGCAGAAGCGTTAACCACAGAGTCTGCAGCAGGAGCCAGAGGGGACAGCTGACTCAGCAGGGCCGTGCGGAGTTCACCCTTCCTGTCCCTGTCTGAGCGGAGCACGAATGTGACATCCATCCCAGCGGCGGGCAGGTGGGAGCCGCGCTGTGCTCGAGTCACCCCGGCTGCCGGCTCCCTCCTTTCCCTGGTCACCCGCCCCTGTGTGGGCGAGGCGAGGTCCCCCACGCAGGCAGCAGCCAGGGGGAGCCCCCAGTCTCTCTGACACTCAGTTTTGCCATCTGCAAAATGAGGTTGGAGTACAGCAGGTGTTTTTTACACACTTTTTGACCACGATCCTCAGTAAGAAAAACATGTCACGATGTACTCGTCAGGACTGCATTAGCCGCTGTGTAACACACGGACCCCAAAAGGTCAGCGCCTTAACACAAGAGAAGTCCATTTCTCATTCACGTCAGTGTCCAGGTCGGCCTCCTGGTTTGTGGGTGGCTCTCTTCCACCCGGTGAGTCAGGGACCCAGCCACTGGAGGCTCCACCATCCTGTAGAATGTCCCCAGCAAGGTCAGAGCCACCTTGTCTCAGAAGTAAAGCGTCATTTTCAATCACATTGCACTGGCAAAAGCAAGTCGGCCAGGAGCCCACCTAGACACAAGGACAGCCCCTCCCTAGGGACACACTCGCACTATGGGAGGGGACACAGATTTGCCAGCGAGTCAGCCAGCTGCCCCTGCCAGTTCCTGAACCCCAGACACATGCATCCCTGAGGTGGCCTGTTCCTCACACTGCGTGCAATGCCGTCTGAGTCTGATACCTTCTACCTTTTTTTATTATTATTTTATTTTTATGAGTGCTGGGTATGGCCAACTAAATTCATCTCATGACCCCGCTAATGGGTCAAAATTCAGACAATTCCTTAAAGGAGTGGCCATATTTTATCACCCAACTCTGTGTAGAGTATACAGAGTTCAGAGGCCACAGGTGTTGAGGGACTTTGTCAGCCAGGGAGAGCTGCTTGAAGCCCTAGCTGTCACTCAGAGGAAGCAGCAAGGCAGGAAAAGTGGGTTTTAACCCAGAATAGGTGAGGATAGCCTCCTAATCCACCCAAAGAAGCGAGGCCTGCTCAGATGTCCAGGGCAGAAGGAGACCTGGCGGACCCAAGTGGGCCATTTCTGAGACAAATCATAGACAATGTTCAGACGAGGGACGTGCTGGCTCCAATCCCCCTTCTGAGAGGGATTTGGCAAGTGCTCTTCCCAGAAGGCAGCCAGCTTTGCACAAAATCTGGCCAAACGGCAATAATGATGCACCAGAATGTTGGAGAAGGAGCTGGCGTCTTGGCACCAGAATCTCTGTGTCCTTGAGGTCACCCTTTCTCTCCCCCTTCTCTCACTCTTTCTCTCCCCCACTCCTCGTCTCCCCCAGGAAAGATCTTGGATGCCTCATTCTCGATGCTGATGTCCTCTGAGCCCTGGCAGGTCTGCAAAACACTTTCAGAAACACCGGGAAATAGCCCCGTAACTTCTGTAACTCGGTTCATGATGTATGGTCCAAAGTGACATCAGGGACACTAGTCCCCTTTTTTGAAGAGAGAAATCACACTTTAATGTGTAACCC